CGAAATTTTAGATTCCGATTTTTTTTAAGCTATGCATTATAAACAGTAATATTGGTATGTGATTTATGTCAGAATTATGTCAATTCAAATAAAACATACAAAAAATTTTTTTGACCAAAGTACACCGTAGAAAATCAATTTTCAATTTTGGACTAGGGGCGACCCTAGTCAAAATCAATTTTGTCATTTTTTTCTTCGATGGTTTTTCCAAATGGATTGAAACTTTGCATAAATATTCTAGTGTTTAAAACAAATACAAATAAAACATCCTAAAATGTTTTTGAGCAAAGAACCAAGTAGGAAATACGTTTTCAATTTTGGACTAGGGGCGACCCTAGTCAAAATCAATTTTGTCACTTTTTTCTTTGAGGGTTTATCCAAATGGATTGAAACTTTGCATAAATATTCTAGTGTTTCAAACAAATACAAATAAAACATCCTAAAATGTTTTTGAGCAAAGAACCAAGTAGGAAATACGTTTTCAATTTTGGACTAGGGGCGACCCTAGTCAAAATCAATTTTGTCATTTTTTTCTTCGAGGGTTTATCCAAATGGATTGAAACTTTGCATAAATATTCTAGTGTTTAAAACAAATACAAATAAAACATTCTAAAATGTTTTTGAGCAAAGAACCAAGTAGGAAATACGTTTTCAATTTTGGACTAGGGGCGACCCTAGTCAAAATCAATTTTGTCACTTTTTTCTTCGATGGTTTTTCCAAATGGATTGAAACTTTGCATAAATATTCTAGTGCTTAAAACAAATACAAATAAAACATCCTAAAATGTTTTTGAGCAAAGAACCAAGTAGGAAATACGTTTTCAATTTTGGACTAGGGGCGACCCTAGTCAAAATCAATTTTGTCACTTTTTTCTTCGATGGTTTTTCCAAATGGATTGAAACTTTGCATAAATATTCTAGTGCTTAAAACAAATACAAATAAAACATCCTAAAATGTTTTTGAGCAAAGAACCAAGTAGGAAATACGTTTTCAATTTTGGACTAGGGGCGACCCTAGTCAAAATCAATTTTGTCACTTTTTTCTTCGATGGTTTTTCCAAATGGATTGAAACTTTGCATAAATATTCTAGTGCTTAAAACAAATACAAATAAAATATCCTAAATTTTTTTAAGCAAAGAACCGAGTAGGAAATACATTTTCAATTATGAACTTGAGACAGGTCTAGTCAAAATCTAGTTTTTCACTTTTTTTCTTCGAAGGTTTATCCATTAGAATGCTAATACAAAGTTTTACTGTATTTGGATTTATCTTTGAAGAAAAAAGAGAAAAACTAGATTTTGACTAGGGTCGCCCCCAGTCCAAAATTGAAAATGTATTTGCTACTCGGTTCTTTGTTAAAAAAAATTTTTTTCATCCAAAGTTTAATTTAAAAAAAATCACAGTGAACTTTTAATTTGAAAAATTCATAAGAAAGGAAAGTTTTTTTGCTTTTTCTGAAGCAACGGCTGTTCTTACCTTGCCTAAAAACAATACAGCTCTTCTATAGAGCAGCACGGATCAAGTGTAAAAAACTAGAAGTCTCTACAATGTCTCGCTATTGAGATTTCTTGCTGATTAACTTGCTTGCTTGCTTGCTTGTTTGCTTACAGAAAGCGTATTTTGCGATTTTCTCAGCAATGCCATAACCAATTTGAAATCTGTTTTTTGAAAATGATGTAAAATTTCAGGCAAAAACTTTTCATCTCTGAACATTTTAAACTATCTTGCTCCATATCCTCACAAAATTCAAAAAACTGATTTTTCAATCTGAACAAAACCAATAGATTCACACGTGAAAACGGTGTGAATATAATAAAATTTTTAAAGTGATTCTGGATTCCTAGACATAGCCCACATCAGTATAAACTTTCAATTCAGACCTTTAAAATAGTTTTTTTTTGTATGAAACCAAACAATTGTTAAAATTTGCTATAACTTTTTATTGAGCAGCACTACCGCAAACAAGAAAAGTTCTATATCCATTCAACTTTGTAAATACGCTCCCAGAATAGATCAATTAAAGTTTCAGAACAAAAAAACCTTTAGATAAAAAAAGTTAAACATATTTTTTGTGTTCTGGTTGTGAATGTGAAATTAAAGGAAGGAGTCATTAAGCTATGATGTCTTGACCTTAGTCAATGAAAGAGTGTTGACTGGAAAAATCATCATTTGATCATTTTTAAAATGTATATTTATGTTATGGTTTCATACCATAAAGTAAAACCATATAATATGGTCGATTTTTGGGGCTATTTGAGGCACTTACCCTAGTTACAGTTAAATTTTATTTATATTTCTAAGTATGGAGCTCTATCATTTTATTTTTATCTTGATCAGAACCACTTTGGTGTCACTGGGTATCGAACAAACTATTTTTATATTGGCATCACTTCCAAACAACCCCAATTCAGTTTTGAAACGTTTTTGATCAAATTTAAAATTCCACGATAGATCAAGGTAGTAAAAATTTAAATAAATAAGAAGAGTTTATGCACAGACTTCCGCATTCATCCATCAAAAAACTGTAAGAGAATATACCAAAAAGAGAAAGAATAAAATATATTTTTAACAAGAATCACTTACAATACTTCATTGAATACCAAAGGAACATAAAATTTAATTTCGCAATGAGCTTTAATTTTTAATCACATTAACTTCTTTTTCTACTTCCTTTCATTCTCTTAAATTGCGATGTGAATTGGATGAAAGTGAGGGTAAGAAAAAGGAGGCTGGTTCTCCCATGAAAGCTAAATTAAAGAATATAAAGCAAGAATCAAAAAGCACCGAGCAATAAGACGAAGAGAAAGAAAAAGGAATAATGGAACTGCTCATGTATAAGGTAATGCGATTAATGGAAAAAGAATGAGAGAAAGAATTTCAAAAATTCTATCAATTCTTCGAAGACTTCTTTTATATTGAATGGATTTATTAAATTGAAAATTTATGGATGAATATTTCTTTCAATTTTAAGAGCATCGGCACAATATTCATAATCCCCAAAAATGGAAAAGTTTTTCATCTCTCGAATTTCATTATAAATGACAAACAAAATCATAAAATAATAAGAACATTTCTAAGAAGATTTTTAGTCTTTTTTGGGGAGTTCATAAAAATCTGATAAAGACATTGAATTGATGTGCTTTTTTAGCTGAGATGCAAATGGAAGTGAGTCTGAGCATTATTATTCCCAGTTCTCAAAGGTCATTCTTGCGTAATGGTCCGTATTTATGATAAGAATGACTCATTGAAACAATTCTTAAGCTTCTTCTTCCTCACGACTGAGTATGAAAACCTCTGTAGACCTGACATTGAAAGGAACAATAATTTTACGACAGAATTTTCCAATCAAAACTCAAAAGAGTCATTGACTGATGCTTGAAAAAACATAAATGATTTTAAAAAACACCTGACTTTCCATTTACCAAACAAAATTTAACCTCGATTAGGGGCGGTGAGGGGGGGGGTCTATTTTGTGAGAAAAAGTAGTAACAAAAATGGTAATGCTGCTGGCAGTGGTTTTTAATGGATTAGCTGACTAAAGTTGCCAAAACCGGATCAGAATCAAAATTTTTCACTCATCAAGTAACCCCCTAACACGGGGAAACCAACATTATGGGAAAAATTTTGTAGATTTCCAACAACTTTGCTTTAAACTTGATATAATCTTTAAATCTTAAACAATTTCAAACCAAAAAATTTTTCCCATTATATTGTTTTCCCCTTGAATCCCCCTGACCTCGAGCCATTGACAATACATTTTCTCACAAGAATTGCGATCTCTTCAGAGGTGTGAATTAAGGCAAGTTGAAAGGCATTTTTGAAGATTATGTAACATCGACAGGTTGCCAATTCTATGCTCAATCAAGACGAGAGTAAAAATTTGACGAGACAAAAATAAACAAGAACCAAATGTGACAATGAATGCATTAGTCCTTAATTTTTGTGTGGGTGCGTATTGCTGAGGCGTCATTTGTGACATTTTTTTTTTATTAAATTATTTCAAAACTCAAATGTTCTTCTTTTAAATAAGTTGAGTTAGTACGTGAAATGTCGAGAGATTTGGAATGAATGAATATTATTTCTAAGGATTTAAAATGTCAAGCATAAATCAAATTTAGGAAAAAGTTGTGAATGAAAAAAGTTTAAATGACAAAGATCAAATGAGTCTTATTTGCATAATTAATTAATTTTGAAGCTGAAGCTACTCATATAGCTGCTAATATCATAGTCACTAGACATATCAACCCACATGGACATTAATCATGCAATCCCTAATTACATATTAATGACTAATAGCACATCCAACTTATACTCAGTCTTTAACAGCACATAATTAACAGATATCAAACGACAAGTTGGAGATTAAAGAAGGAAGTGAAAGTTTTCTGAACTGTAAAGTCATTCATTCGATTTGGAAGTGCATTTGAGTGCAAAGTGAATATTTCTCGATGCGACAAAATCGAATTAAGAAATCTAATTTAAACTTTCTCATCTTCAAGTCTTTATTTCTTTGAAGTCTCTTCGTTCAGTTGCATGCATTTTGTAATTCTTAAACCAACTTCATCCCGTCGGCAATTATGCACATAAATGAGTAATTTAAAATTATTATCTTAGTGAATGTTTTACTTCTGTTGTCTCAGATCATATATTTTAATTTAAATAAATTAATTCCAATAGCTTTATAGTTCACTAATTTGAGCTTCCAGCTTTATGCAAAATTTATGTTATTTCCGATTTAATGGATATATCCATGCAATTTGGGAACAGCAACGCGTTTTCTGTACAAAAATAGATTCCATTATAAATCCCCAACACATGTTGAACAACAGGATTAATTCAATTAGTAAAATCATACCATAATGCGGTAATAATGAAATTAGAGTATTTATACCTGTGGTTGCATGAAATTAGAGGCAGCATTTTGTAAAACATAACTTTTTAGGACGTGTGGGCTTGCTGCTTTGTAAATTATAAATTTTTCACCGCTAATGATAGCAACCAAATGAATTTTTTAAGAATTTTATATTTTTTTATTCTTTATAAAACTCTCGGAATCAAAATTTCTTATTTGCCTGCTGCTATGGACCCTTCATCTGATGAATACTCATCACCTGCTTTTTACACTTGTACAATGACTCAAGAAGAGATGGAAGAATTGGAAGTTCCTTCAAATATTTCGTGTGAAAGTTGCGTCATCTGCATATCAAATCTTAATTTAGATACTGACAGATTAAGGTTGCTGCCTTGTGAGCATGTTTTTCATGAGAGCTGCTTATTTAATTGGCTGAAAATGCACGCGATTTGTCCACTTTGCAGGCATGTTTTGAAGGATAACACAAACATTGGTGAGCTTAGGATTTGTTTGTCAAAGAATTAAATTTTAAAGTTTTACTTTTTTCACATCCAGTATCACAAGATCAAGTGGATGGTTGGAGAACGTTCCTTCATAGTCCAAATTCTCTGTCGATTGAAAACATTCTTCCAGGAACTGACTTTTATACGGGACCATCAGCAAATACTCGATCTCAAATCGAACGTCGGCTATAGTTCAATTATTAAATTAAATATTTTAGGATTTACGGTCAAAATAATCTTTAATAAAAATTGGATGTCTCTTGGTCATTAACCCTTTTCAAAATTATCTTATTTATGAGTTTTCAGAACTAAAGATAAAAGCTACAAAATAACTATAATCTCTTGAGACTTGATAACCAACACAAAAATGTCATTCCAATTTAATTAAAGCTCCTGCAAAACCATTGCAATCCTTTCATTTTCACTTAATAAACATTTATTTGTTAAGAACTTGTGAAACAATTTTTACAGCTACACACGGGTTCTCTATTAAATGAGAATTGAGACAAATAAAACGTTTTTTACGTAATGACTATATATGGCACCAATCTGAATCTCTATGTGTGTGGGATGCTCACCTTATCATATCATTAAAGTTAATGAGGAATCCTCTGTTGAGTCATAAAATTGTGTATGAAAGGAACATAAAGCAATAAAATATGAACTTTATCAAATTAAAACACTCTATGATGTAAATTTTAAGGATTGACACATTCTTAATTTATTTAATGAGGTTGAGAGTTGAGTGTAAGTTCATTTCTTTTGAACTTCCTGTTGTACATCCTTTTTTCTGTTTAAATTTGCATTAATTGTCGTCATTATCGCTTCTCCTTGAGAAACTTTATTTCTCGCTTTAATTTTAATTGGAAAAATGTGAAGTAATTAAGGGTTGCTCAACCTTCTAAGATAAGATATATTTTGTGATGCTAGAAGTTGTTCACAAATGACATCACAGGGGATGAGTGACAAAAAACTCCAGAAAAATAGAATTTGTTAGAATTTTCGGTGTGATACGTCCCTTGCCTGTAAAAATTTGGTTCGAATCCAGCCATTTCCAAATTTGTTCTTTTTCGGAAGTTTAGATACTTCGACTGCTTAATGTACAAGATCAAGCCATAATTGGCATTTGGGCAACGTTGGATTAAGGAACGGGTCGAGAACTTGAAGTGTAGTAAGAGATATAGGAACAAGAGCTGCAAGATTACCCACGAATGGAATATTGTTTGAAAGGACCTGAAAAGTATCACGGCACGCCCACAGAAGATCATGACGAGAGCCTTAAAATATTTGAAACCTTAACTTAACTGAATTATTACTGGACAGTATGTCATCAATTATTGCAATTGGACCTAGAAAAACTCAAATAAAGCTCTAATACTGAAAAACTAAAAGTTCTGTAGCTCATCTGAAAAACTCACACGATCCACTTGTGTACCGTGCCACAAAGTTTAAGTACCATTGACACAAACTATTCCGTTTGATATTTATACAGCTTAATATAAAAAGAAGTCCATGAATGAATACTTCTCTCATTTCAATAATTCAATTTGACCTGATTCCATTAAAACAGCAAGTTTAAAATTAAAAATTCATTAATAAATTTCGTACCAAGATAATAAAAAATTCATAAACTTTTTTTCCATCCTTCAATTCCATTACGAAATGGTGTAAATATTAACCAATCATTGAAGCTGAACAAGACCAAGAAAAAAAAATTAAAAGTTAAGTAGAAACATTTTATTCGTTTTCATTCCTGCAAAAGGTACATTGACATTCATATCACATCGCCCAAAAGAAGAACATCGGGAGAAATCAATCGAATAATTCATGAAGGACTCAATGGACCTTTTTGCATCCCTTTTCTTTGGTTCCCCATCAATGATTTTTAAAAAATAAAAGCTGAATGAGATTTAATGTGGAATGAAAATATTCCGAGAATAAAAAGGAGATCCAATTAAAAAAGTTTCCAACAACAGCAGCAACATTATTTAATACTTTGGTCGATGGAAACTCAATTATGGGTTAAATGAGAAGTCGAATTGAAAGAAAATAATGAAAAAGGAAAGTCCAATTTTTTAACAGTTTTAGTTTTCATGCTTCATATTTCAGATTTTTAATTCATAATAGCAAAACTTTTTGGGTAGATATGTATGATGGGCTGCTGTATTGTTACAGATTTCATTGTTCTCATGATTCATCTCTGATTTAAAATTTCATAAAGCTGCATTTTTATTAAACCTTTTAATCATTATGAAACTTCAAGAACACTGAAAAGGATTAGTTTAGCATAATTATTGCTTTTTCTTCATACAGAGTCACAACTTTATAGCCTTGCTTTTTTGTAGCACACTATAATGACCATAATTTTATCATGAAAGAAAAACAAAGACGTTTTCGGAATTGCTTTCTTGATTTTTTACCGCAAATAGCATTCATTTAGCTAATAGCTAGAAAAATGATTTATAAGATTGCAAGCCTTGATCAGTGACGTAGTCAGACGAAAAGGGAAGTGAGGTATGAATATGTGGAAATTCAATCTACATTTCTTCAAGTTTTGATTCAGAATAAAAGTGCTCAATGCTCACTACCCACGCCTAGCAAATTTCTGACTACATCTTTGCTTGTCATTAAGTCATTAGGTTTTGGAATTTCAATGTTGGATTAGAATTATGATTCACATGTAAACAGTTTGTTCAGATTCTCAGATTAAACTTGAGGATGCTTGTCCCTAGGAACCAAAAATTTGAATAAATTTTCACCATGAATGCATGTGCAATGTACAACTCCTTAATATAATTGAGAATTTTGTCTTCAAATGTTCATCACCAAGCTACATGACTTCCACTAAAGGAACACTCGTCTAACACTGAAAGTCAAGAAACATAAATAACGAATAGTAAGAAGAGTAAGGCAAGGAAACATGAAGAGGGAAATTGTTCTACTAATGACGCCTCTTAAATAACACTAGACTCGTTGCAAGAGGTAGTTAGAGTCGAGTGAAATGCAAATTGCATGCTATTATAGCTATTGGTACTTAAATGACTAGTCATAATGAGAGTAAAAAACGGAATTATATTTGAATGTTATTTTTATTCCAATTCTTAGATAAATACGAACAATAAAATAATATGCAGCACATGTCCATGCACAGAAGAAATGGTTGCATTTTTAAATAAATAATTGAGGCTATTTTATAACACAAAAAAAATTAAAACAATAAAGAATGTTTTTGTTGTAACTTGTTACCGACCTGAGGCTTTATATCCCCAGTCCTGATGTTTCAAAACCCAAAGTAAACATAATATTTCTTTTACATAAATAACATTTCAGTCCTTTCCATTCATCCCTTCATTCTAGGAAGAAAAAAAAATTGCGCATTTTTAATTCAAATAATGAGCAGAAGACTGTTCACTTCAGACTGTGACAAAAAATCGTGGTCAGTAAACAAACATTTGACCAAAAATAATATATGCGCATTAATCATACTAAATTCTATTCCCTATCCTTAACTTAATATCTAAAATGTCTCTCTAATGCAGTGAAATTTTTTTGTGGAATTGTTGGAACAACAGAAACAGATACAACCTGTGGTGTCGGTACAGATGGTGTTGGTATGACAGAAATTTTACTTATATGTGCATATGGTTGGATAGCTGGTGACTGTGCTTGCCCATAATGTGCATTGGGTGCAGCATTATATCCTGTATAATAATTTGTAGCAATTGGTAAGGAATATGCACCTGAAAGATGCTTGGAATAATCGACAAATGTTTGTGGTGGTGCTTGATGGTGATGATTATGATGATGATGGTAATATACATGAGGTGGTGGCTGAGTGGCAATTAATGCTGCAGCTGTTGGAAGTTGTGGGTGTGATTTATCAAATGGTTGTAAGAATGTTGAATAGCTGATGGCTCCATGCTGATTATGATGCACTTCACCAGATTGCGATGATGATGAAGATGGAGAGGATGGAGATGCACCGTGATTTGATGAAGAATGTGCTGGGAGGGGCGACTCTAAAGCCACAGGCTTCGATGTTATTAATTGTGAGTGTTTATACGATGATGGTTGAGAAGCCACATTATGTGTTTGCGGTTGTTGATGGAATGTTGATATTTGTGGATATTTATTCAACGATCCGAATTGTTGAAATTGTTGTGATTGCACAGGTGCTTGATATGGTCCAAAATAACCCATTGTCGGAGCATGAATGAATGGTGTAAGTTGTTGCACATTATAATTATGTAATGGAAGTTGTTGAGTGAATATTTGCTGGGCAAGTTGATATGGTGAATGAAGATATGAAACAGCAGCTGGCTGAGATGCGGCAAATGCTAGTTGTTGGTAGTTGTTATTGTTATTATGATATCCATACGACACTGGAGCGGGACGATTGTATGCACTCGACGGTGATGAAAACTTGACATTTGATGGTGACACAAATTGCTGATGTTGTTGTTGCTGTTGACTACCATAAGGATATTTTACGTAACTCTGTATTCATTGATGATTTTTTTTGTTGGTATAGCACAGTTGACAGATGAGACATAAAATGAGAGAGAAGAACAAGAACGAAAAATGAGATTAGTCATAAAAAATTTAGGTTTGATTGGATATTGGATGAAGCCATAAAACTTTGTTATTCCGTAGATTACAAAACATGCTCTTCATGCGACATCGTTTCGAAAGTGGAGGATGAAAACTTAGTGGAACTATCGACTATTCTGATCATAGTTCATAAAAATTGGTTACAATCTCAATCCATGATATAATTTTATGACAGGTCTTTTGGACTACAGCATGAATATAAATTTAGAGGGGATGAAGTAAAATTTGACCTTTAAAATGTGCTTTTATGGATATTACGGACAGTTGGATGTAATTTAAAGAGAATTTTTGGGAAATTTCCAATTCATCACACATGAAAATGTAAAATTAATGCCAACTATCTTCTACATATAAATGACATCCATTCATGATGTAAATCAAGTCCATTTAATGTAAGTAATTACACTCAATTTCATCTTCAATTGCCTCATTTTTATCACATTCGAATCAAATTCATTTTCAGTTTATTGTTTATTCTTAAATAAATTCAATTCCATTATTTTTCAGAGCTATTCGCAGCACAAGAAAAAAAAATCATTAAAATGGGATTTAAATATTGCGTGACTTGTTTCAATTTCCCTTCTTATTTACTCTTTTCGCTTTTCTTTCTGTTAATGGAATTTCTCGTAATTTTTTGATTTTTTAACAAATTATCTCACATTTTACTGCCTTTTTTTTGTTGCTATGAAGAAAAGCTTTTGTTGCTGTTTCTATACATTTGAACCATAGCTTTAACATCATAAATTGTTATTTAGCCACATTGCTAGCATAGCAAATGATATAAGTAAATAAGTAGAAGAAATTACGGAAGAAATTACTTATTACGTAACGCGAAAAAATGACTTCTTAGACCCCCCCGCCCCCCCCTCGTAACAAAATTTGTATGAAAAAAAAATTTCCTTGTTTGAACCGTAACAAAATCTTAGACCCCCCTCCCCCTAAAAGCGTTACGTAATAAGTGAATGGCCCCATATAGAAGTTACGAATTCAAGAAAGATTCATTATTTCCTGTAAATTTGTTGAATGCTTGAAATAGTTCCATTTATACGAAAGCTAATAGAGAATGAAAAGGAATTGTAAGAAGCTTTAAGGAAAAGTAATGAAAAGACCAACAATGTACGTTTATTAGAATGGAAGGAACTCGTAATGACTTTGATAAAAACTTGATTGACCAGACTCTAGATTTATTAAGCCACAGTTCATTATAGTAGCACTAAACTGCATTATAATAATCTTACAAAATTTTGGCCACAAAACCCAAATTTTCACCCACAAAATAGAAAAGCTGCTAGCTGTTGAAGTGAAAAAATGAAAGAATTTCTCATTATCATCATCAGCTCGTAGTTCATGCAAGACATTGAGAAGCTAATGTTGATTGTAATTGAATTTAATTCCATTTCTCCTCTCTTACTTGTATTATCACTATAGCAATGAAAGGAAGTGAGGGAGATGGAGAGAAATAGACTAAGAAGAAGTGAAATGATGATGAGAAAGTAAAGAAAGATGAAATTGAGTATCATTGATTGAACGTGTGCTATGGTAAGAAGAACTTTTTGTGTATTGAGATATTGTATGAGAATATGGAAGAAGCTTAAAATTTTCTTTTGATTAGAGAATTGGCAAACTTAATTTTAACCCTTAATTGCCAATTCAATGGTACATGACAACGTTTTAATTATTTCATCAGGTAAGCAACAAGAATAGCTTACAGAACATTATAAACTATTCTCTAATACTCGTCAGATGAAGCACATAGAAATTTCTAGTTTCCATTAATCTCACAAACCCTCCACAAGGACATATGATGACACAGATCGAGCATTATAAAATCCACTTATTGTTTAATTTCTCACTAGTCAAGTATTTTCACACAACAATAATGCAGAGCGGACATGAGAAACAAAGTCAATTTAAAGCTCCGACTTTACAGCAGGATACATTATGAATCAGATTCATTCAGTAAATTGAGAAGCTTTCAATTTTTAATTGATGACCACAATCGGGACACAACCATTGTGCTATGTGGCTGAACAGCATTGTCTACATGTGTAAGTCTATATCAGAGCATAACACAGAAAAAATAAAGACAGAGAGAGTTTACAGGAGAATACAATACACAACAGCATTGCTGTACATTTTTAGACAATAAAGAGAGCAGAAAAAAAATTTGTGGATGGAAAAAAAACCTTAAAGCAAATAAACAAGCATGGAAGAAAATTGTCCAAAACAGGAAAGAGAAGTTAAACAGAACATTGACGTTCGTGTACGGTCGCCTGCTTACTTCAATTCTCTGGCTACTGCTTGCCAAATACATTTGTCGTAGATTTCATTTCCTGACTTTTTTTTTCTCTCTCATAGTTCATTTTTTTGTGGATATAATTTATATTGTGTACGTTGTCATGACTGATAGTGCAGATGACAACTAGGCGTAGTTATTAACACAAGAAATTCTCAAGAGAAATTGACTTCCAAAACTAGGTCAAACAAACTTCTTTGAATATTCTTGCAAGTCGACAAATTTACAGTCAATGCACAGCAGGAACGTGATAAATCTTTAAATGCACTCATTTTCATCACAGAAACGTAATCACGACACAAATGCACCTCAGTCATCTGTCAACAACAACTCTCAACTTGTTCTTTTATTGCTTCTTCTATTATTATTACGTTATGTGCCTTGCTGCTTATTGTCGCTTTTCTTTTCCTACACAATGGACAGCATAAGAATTTTCTGGTCTTCTTATTCTTATCCTCATTTTTTCTGCTCTTCTCTACTTCGCTTGAAAAGAATATGAAGTTCGTGGTAGTTTATGAAGAAATTCTAAAGTAACTTTTTTCTGTGCTAAAATGAAGTAAGTGAGAAGGAACAAGAAAAGTTTCGTGTTGAAAAGAAATAAAAATCATTTAAGGTTGAAAGATTTCATTTACTTTAATTATTGATAATTTTTTAAGCATTTCCACACGTCTACGATTTTATTACGATATACATTTGAAGCAAGGGGGGATCTTCGACTTTTTCGATCTATAAAAATCAGCAGCAGTAGCATGAAGAAGTAAAGTTTCATGTCTTCTCAAAGTTTCTTGACTATTTTTAGTGCAATTTTCTCTTAAAATGTCTAAAAGCACAGTTGCTACTTTATCATGTAGAAAATTAATTTTTGATGAAATTCAGCTTCAGAAGAAAATTCCATTCGTGTCTCAAAATGAAGCACAAACTGTTTTCCTAGAATGCATGTTTATTGTTCCACTCAATGTCAAAACCTTAAGTGCGAATTTTTTTTATTTAATTCAAAAAGTTTCCTTCGTGTTCTTCGATATGACATTTAATCATGACGACATGCAGACAGCAGAAAACAAGTTCAAATTGGCGATTTTCTGTATAAATTTCATTTTCAAGCATGACATGCACGAGAAAACTTCATCCTGAAGACACAAAAACATAAAATGCAGTTGAAAAAGTTTCAAACTGGCCAATTAAAGTGGCAAGTTGAGATAACATGCTTCGGTGTTGCATTTAATTTCTATGCTGTACTTTTTTGTGTTTGCAAGGGGGAAACAACATATTAGGGAAAAGTTTTGGTATTAAATTTCTATTAATTTCTCACTGATTTACTTGAAATATTTTAATGAAAATCAGTGTGGAATTTTCTTATTAAACTCGTTACTCATCATGTTGTTTTCCCCTTGAGTGTTTGTCAGAACAACAACAAACTTGGCTCATTAGAGCTGAACAATTAAAGATTGAGTTTTCTGATGTTTAAATTGCTAAGATTTAGAAAGATTGATTGTGTTTAAAGCATGAAGAATGTTTAATGAACAGAAACTTGTTTATCGAAATTGAAGAAGTTTAGTGCGACTGCCTCAATCTTAAAAATAACTTTCGTGTAGGTTTTAAAATATCACTTCTCAAAGGTTCAAATAGAAAGGGTTTTATGTTTCCAAAGAATGGTCATATTGCTTAAAATGCCAAAAATTTCGTTAGAAGCACCTCTAAATTACATGAAAGGTTGATGCTAATAAACTCAGCATTTGACCAGCCAATTCATCATACTAATTAATTTTTTCGGAGAGAAATCATGACTTTCAGAAAATTTTTCATGCCGATCTAATTAATTTACCTAAAATGTGCCCTTCATCATGGCAAAAAGTCAACGATGACAGATTTACATGCGATGTGAATCAATTAAGAATAATGTTGGCTATTACTTTAAAATTCATACAAATCATTCATGTACATTTATAATGTTTAATTTTTATGTCTCAATGTACAAGCTCTTCATGCCGAGGCTATAGCTTCACGTGTACCTTTTAAGCAGGCAAAACAAAGAAATTCGTGGAACTTTCATGACTAAATGAAATAAATAAATGAAAAACTTTTCTCATGGCAGCACCACGTGCTGTTTAAGCAAGTTGTAGTTACTTAAAAATAATAATAAGCTTGAAAACGAAACATTTACTTCTTCTTCTGTTACTTCCTCTCTTGTAGCTAAATGGAAGCATCTGCAACTTTTCTTATCATTATAAACAATTTCAAGCACGCGCTCCATGTTCTCATAATTAATACGACTCATTACCATTTCTTTTCTTAATAGATAGAAAGGAAAAGTGTAAGAACAAGAAGAGGATGATGATGAAAAGTGGAAAGAAATAATGATACAACTTACAATAACAATTGGAAGGAAGTAAGAAGATTTTTTTGTTTTTTGTAGTTTAGTAGAAAATTGTTGAATATATTGGAGATTAATACGCAGTTTTTGATGGCTTGATGTCAAAATGAATTTCAAGTTGAGCAGTTCATCTACCATCCAGATCGGCACACCTTGAAATGTTTGTCACACTACAGCCGGGTTGATAGTATGATTAGAACCAAGCTTTAGTTTAGTTTTAGAAACCATTTTCAAGTGGACGACAAGTGGTTGCTGATTGGCTGCAGCTTGTTTCTTATTAAACTATCAACCCAGCTGCCGGGTGGCAAACATTTCAATGAATTTCAATGTGTGCCGATCGGGTCTTAGTTTTGGACTTTGGATCCCATTGATCCCCTTCTTTGACTGATATGTCTTTGATTGTCAGAAGATTGAGTTAAAACTCTGATGACACGTGGATTAATCAAACAATTGTAAAATGGAATGTAAGTTTTGTTTAAATTGATGATTTTTTACAAATTTGATCAAAAATGTTTCTTATCCAAAAAATCATTTACCTAGTCCATAAAAATTCTTACACATGAAAAATTGAGATAAAATTTACAACAAAAATGAAACATTTTCTTCCGATTCGCTCTTCTTCATCCTCATTCGGATGAAATTTGAATTTAAAATATTAACAAGTTTTGTGAATTTATAATGAAAATATTTTCGTGAAAAATTCGAAAAATATCAAAATTATAATAAAAGGAGTCGATCATAAATGATGTTCAACTTTGGATGTCTGTCGTTGTGTGACACTTTCATACGATAAGAAAATGTTCTGTTTAGAAATTGTATGAAACCGGGGAGGAAGTCTAAAAATCACAATTTTTGATAATCATCATCTACAAACGACCCAGAAACAAGCTTTTAAATTTTTGACATGATTCAAAATGAGGAAAATGTTTCAATTATCTTGAAAATAAAATGTAAGAACTTCAATTCTCAACAGAAGTACAAAAAAAAATCACAAGATCCCAAAAAATACTCCAAAAGTAAATTCATTCAACTTACACTCCCTAATCCTGATGAATAAGGCTGCTGATAATGATGGTTGGCAACAAAATTGCTGACAGTCGGATAGCTTGATGTGATTGGTTTAAATCCTGAGCTCAACGTACTCGATGGCGCTAAAAGCATGGAAATTGAATAAAGAATAGGAAGAAGAAAAATGAAAAATTGATAAAAATTATCGCTTTACGTGCCTTCGAATAATAATGATAATAAGAAAAAATAATGATAAAATTCAATATCATAGCCTATTCCATAGCTTTAACAGATTGTAAAGCTTATATACAATTAGTCCTCATTACTCACCAAAATATGCTAGGCGTTTATTTTGCTGTTTAGCATCATTCACAGATGATGACAATGGAACATTATTCTGTGATTGTTGGATCTGATGCTGTTGTTGTTTGCTACTTGATTTTGCTTCGTCAGCGACACTGGATGATGCGATGATAATGGCAATGAGGACAATCACGATGTTATATTTCTATGGATGTATATGAGAGATTATGTGAAAGAGAAAATAGATGTACGATTTAATATACTTTTTTTTGTGTTAGCTCAGAAAAAAATGACATGAAAAATATTTTTCTGCTTGTTGCCGCCCCATAGCGTTTCCATCATTCTCAACCCTCAATATCAGCACAATAGAGCTTTATTATGATAAGTTAATATGAATGATAATAGCAATAATAATAGAATGGATGATAATGATGATGACGTCTTCAATAATGTCATTTCAACGATGAGTAAGGATGGATAATTGAAGGATTGAAATATTATGTGCTACATGCAAGTGAACTTAAGCATTCTTTATAGGCTCAGCCTACATTTTCTATTAGTTTTGACTTTAATTTATTATTCATAGATAGATTTATCCCGATTGGAACAAATTGGTATTGTACAGACAGCCACTAAAATGACTGCAAACCAGCTGTCACTAAGTTTAATATCAGAGCATGTGCTGATCGGGTATGAAAGTCATCATATTATTGTGTTGCATGAATTTATATTGCTGATAATTAATAAAATGACATTTATAAAATTTCATGGACATAAAATCGCAAACTTTATTGAAATGCCAAACGGTGCTGCATTCATAAATTTTTATTGGATAGCAATCAATTTTTAACGTCAATAAATTTTTCACCCACATACAGGCTTCCAATAAAATCATAGCAATTATAAATCCCATTTTTGATGCCTCCACTTAAATTGTCTGTAAACGTAGTAAGAATCTCGAAAAATCTCTGTATAGACATGGAATCAAACCCCGAACGAACTCATGAGGAATAAGAAATTCAACACGTGTTGATATTTTCAACGTGCATCCTACAAAAAAAAGCAGAACTTCCATAAAAAATAATCCGCTTTTCTATCCTTTTTTTTATTAAACAACATACAAGCAAGAGATTTCCTTCTCTTCATTCTTCTGTTGAAGGATGAATTAAGCAAGACATCTTTTCTATTCGATAGTAAAAAATTTTCATTCTTTCAATCTGCTCCTTCATTTAATCTTTATTTTTTGCTGTTCTGCCTTTTTCTCATTTCTTTTTAGCACTTCCAAAATGTTTTCATTTTAAAAGTAGAAATGTTGCAAGATTGTCTGTTTGATATTCAAACTTTTTATTGCCACATGCTACTTCTGACAAGATCATTTTTGGTTACTATTCCCTTTTTTGTAGAATACTGCCTATCTTTTGATGCTTCCTGATATGATTCCTATAGATATTCTGATGCTATGCGTTTTACTATCTTACAATCAATAAGAATGATGATTCTAACCTTGTTCCTTACATAACATATACTTTCTTCCTCCTTTTTAACATATGAGACATACACAAAAGCATAAAGGCATTATACATAAAGGCTCAATTTTCCCTCTTTTGTGCAAATGCGTCAAATCAATGAATAGGCTTGATTCCTCCACCCATAAAAAAAGAGAACCTTCCAACATGTGACTTTTTGTGTGTATCTACTTGTACATAAGAAACATACTTAATGATATGAAAATACTGCAGACGATTGCTGAATTTAAACATCACCTTAAGACTTGAGTGATTTTTAAAGATAAGGAAATGAATAGCTTGAAATTCAGTTGAAATAATTACCAATGATCTGGATTATTTAATTACTCTCTTCATTGCAGATGATATCAATGCAATTAAGTTAATTGGATGTACTTTAAAGGAGGTAAAATGACCCGAGAAGCTGATAATTCATGGAAGAATCTTTTTAGTAATGCTTAATTCAGGTGGATGTAATTATAGTAAGTGGATCCAGGTAACAAATTGCTGGCATTTTCAAATCAGTTAATTTGATCTTATTGTAGGAATTTGGATTTTTGGAATTAGGAGCTTCCATGCTTCATTGTTGGTTCAGATTGAGAGAACTAAGCATTGGCTACTAATTGGAATTTGTTTCAATTATTTTCATATTTTTTTAAGTTTTCTGAAAACTCATAAATCATTACTGTTCAACTTTACGTGTCGCAAAAACATCTGCTTAAGCTTCAAAGTCTGATTTGATTCTCAGAAGTTGATTACTGAAAAATACCTAAACGTAAATTTTTACCACGACTGAATGAATTAACTATGATTAAGCCAAGAAAGATGAATGAATTTTTTTGACGAATTAAGTTCTAGGAACTCTGGAAAACTTTTGTAGAGTGAAATTTAATTCTTTATTCTTTATTAGCTCATAAATTGATGCAACAATGTTAGCAACAAATCAAAATTTAATAGCATCAAGTCAATCATGTCAACAGACTCCTATTATGTCCAACTCTCAATAAAACCTTGATCAATTTGTGCTGCAAGAAAGAAATCTGATACTTTAGTAAGCTGTAATGATTCCCTTATTATAAAGGATTATTTTTCCCTGCAGATGTCCACGTTGGCTGCTGACTGACGGATCTAAAAGACTTCAATCAAATAAATTTCTTCTAATTTGAGTGCTTTAGCACCTACCTGATCATAAGTTTTGAATTCAATCCTTTAAATTTTTCTTTAGCTTGAAATTCCACCCACAAAATGAAAATTCTCAAAATAAATGTGAAATGATATTGTAGCTTAATATGAGATGCAAATAAATGGAAAGGGATTATTCCTTAGCTAATATTTTATTTTCCGTATGTGACAATCTGCATATATCATAAAAATAAGTACAATGAAGCATACGTTCGAAAAACCCACACGCATTAAACGCATTTATATTTCCATACAATTCAAATCGTTTGTGCCCTACAGGCTAAGCCATAAAGATTGTGTCTCAAATGTGTGACAAAATAAAATGTATGCAAAATAAATTCTGTGTCTTTTCTTCCTTCCTTCCTTTATTTTTGTCTCTACAACAAGAAATTTTAGCTTCATGTACACACATGCAAACATGGAAGGAGATGAAAGGTAAAAGAATATTTTTAGGTGTCAGCAAAGTTCACGAGTCCCTTGTGTCTGTTTGTACATCCACAAATATAATCCATACATTCTATTTGTGTTCTTTTTATTCCTCATGAAGGCACAAAGCTTTTTTTTGTGTCTCTTATTCAATCAGTCTGGCTGTCTCTATTTACAATGTTATGTAAAGCTTTCGTGCATTCGATTTGAAGGGTCATGCTCTATTTCTCACGACAGCGATTAATCTTGTTCCTTTCGTTTGGTTTGTGTTTAGTAATGTCACAGCAATTTTGCTTTTTAGGTTCGATGCAGGAAGCTAATGTGTTGATAAAAATGATTTTTGGATCGAATTGAGGTTAGAAAGTTATTCTGGCAACTTTAAAGCTATGCATGATGATATGAATTTTCTTGAAGATTGATATAAATTACTCATTAATTTAATCGATGATAACAACAAGTTTTAAGCACCTAAATTCTGAAATATTTCCTCAAACTTTTCTCATCTCTCAAGAAATTTTCCATGAAGAAAAATCATAAATCAATTGCATTTCAATCAATCTTTTAGAGCGAAACATAAATCCCCAATGCAATTGCCGCCTTGAATAAAAAATCATTTTAATACCTTTAAGCACTTACTTCCATTTCAATAGACAACATTAACTATATTCCCTGGAAAATGCGCTATTTTTCACGCCTAATCTCTAATGGGAATTCACAAAAAAGGAAAAAGGATCAACGTTTCAAACAGAAACTTGCTTTCCTCAAAAGTGGGAAAGGGACAGTCATAAAATGATGTTCATGTTTCATCGAGATAGGAAGATATGATGCTGTGCAACCATATTCATAGAAAAGAAAAGAAAATTGTGTGACAGCAGGTAAAGATGGTCTCATCATTTAATAGACGTCATTTACGAACGACCCCAAAGAATCTTTGCATGAAATTTGAATTTAAAAACTTTTCATTTCTTGTTGAACATCTGAATCCCGCAATGTAGGAAGTCTTTTAGAGAGTAAATCCTTGTCCATTGAGGATATAAGAAACGCTCTTTGTATTGAAGAAAGAAAACGAAAGAAGATTTGCAAGCCACAAACAAAAAGGGAAGTTTATGAATTTTTTTTTGCATTATCTTCTTATTATTCACGATTTTCTTGATAAAAGTTCGTGGATGAAAAAGTCTATACGTGGAAAGTTTTTTGTCCACCGCCTACAGCTATAAATAAAGTTTTAATTTCTCAAGAGAAAATTCATAGATTCTTGAGACACTTTTGTGGAAAGTAAATAACCTTCAAATTTACTTCGTCTGGAAGATGCGCTACCAATAACATTCCATTCAATCATTCTCATACTATTCAACTCCATAAATATGTATCTCGTTCATAAATACTAAAGTATGTAAATAATCAGAACAAAGAGTATGGGAGGCTATTGTTTGTACATTTACGAGATGGAATGTGCTGAAAATTTTAGGGAATAATAAATGAGAGCATGAAAATGTAAGTTTCATGATCATTTCCAAAAGAAATTAAGAATGAATTTACAAATATGCCTAAAGGAATTTAAATGAATATAAGCTTTGTGGGTTTTTAATGATTTTAAATGATAAAACATCTTTTGCTTCCGAAAAACATAAAAGGAATTATAAGATTCAAATAAAGTCGAATGGAATTCTTAAAAGGCTCTTCTTATTTATTTTTAAGAGATTTTTATAAGGAACAGCTTTAATGTGGATAGTTAAGGATGTCCTACAACATTAATACGAAAAACTTAATCTTCTCAAATAGAACTGTTCAATAGGTTTTTAAGCGAACCCGGACGTAACATAATTATTAAGACTCCCATATCGATACTAACGAAATGGTTTGATAGCCCTATAAAGACTGTGAATAGCCTTTATTAAAATGCGTTCCTCATGTAATATAGAAAATAATTGCTGAGGGAATTCAATTATTGTTTTTGATATAAAAATTTGATTTTGTGACAATGCCACCCTTTGCCTGTTCTCATGCATGTATGTTGATACAAAAATACACTTTGTACTTGTTAAAAGCCAGCAAGTGATATGATGACAATCATAGTTTCAGAAAAAAATTAAAAATGAATTAATTTTCAATTTCCATAGTATTTTTCATCCAACTTCGCTTGCCAATATTGGCTTAGTAGCTTTTGCATGAACATCTTATTTACTCTTTATATTTTGATGCCAACAAATGCATGAGTTCACGAGAAAATATGCTGCTCGTAAAATTCCATTATGTAAGTCAAATAATCTTCATAAACAATTGTAGCAAGCTTTTGTGAAAATGAGAAGCTTAAATGGTGCTTTTTTGATTAGGAGTCTCAATTAATTATAATCGGAATTGACAAAGGGTCGTTCATTTATGACGTCAGAAATTAACGGTCATTTTTCAAAAAAGAACAATGGATTTCCAGGAATTTTCATTGTTCTTTTCTTGCTGACCAACACCCCCCCCCCCCCCCCTTTAATGACCACCCCCCCCCCCCCCCCCATTCTGCTAAATGTTGAAATATCAATTGATCTTCAGCAAGTAACAACATTTTTTTAGAAAACTAGTCATCACCATTGCAAGCTTTAAATTCATTTTTATCATCGAATGCTTCACATCTCATTCTTTCTTACTTATTATTTTATGTTTCTGCTCTCTGACTCACTCTCATTTCTTTCTGTTATTTTATCTTCATCCAATTACCAACAATGTAACATGTTATTATGTTATGCTGTATTATGTGCGTATTTACATTGTATGTAAATATGAAATAATGTAAATACACAATGATGATAATTAAATAACAATGTGATGCATGTGATGTGCTTAAGCGAACCAAACATAAAAGACGAGACATAAAGGAAGAGATTTTTCGTTCCTTTTCATCTTCCAAGACTTTTTCTTTCACACTTGGGGATGTAAAAATAAATAAGTAATCTTATTACAGGTGTTGAGCTTCACAAAAGTCGATGATCTCAAAATTCTTGATAATTTTTAAATAAGTAATAAACGGAGGAAGTAAGCAATATGATATTTAAACATCGCATAGCTCCAAAATAATTCATTGTTTCTAGCCAAACCAAAAATAGATTAAAAGCCTCAAGAAAAATATGATCTGATGTTTATATACTGTTCCAATAAACCCCTACATGAGAGCATCTTTTATCACAGGGTTGTGATACAGGCACCTGTCACAGGTGAGAACCGTACAATTTCTTGATAATTTATAAGGTTTTTCTGACGAAACCATATAAATTCTAATGAAACCTCACAAATTATCAAGGAATTGTACGGTTCTCACCTGTGCACAGGTGCCTGTTTCGCAACCTTGTTTTATCATCAGTGTAGAGGTGTAGCTAGGGGATTTTGCAATGAATGAAAAAAAATTAAATCCCCTCCCAATTTGGCTACAGCTTTGCATCCGTGAAAGCTGAGATAAAATTATGCATGAAATTTGACAATGACGAGAGGATTAAGTCGTTTATTTGATTTTAATCCGTTTATCATGCGTTGTATTCATATAAATACAATAGATTATTATATTCACATTGTGGCACACAGCAATTTGCGTATGATAGAAAAATAAACGAGAAAATGAACATAAAGAATTTTTCATTGTCAAAACCGTGTGTGTATAAAAATGAAGACATTTTGTGCCATTAATTTTTTATTCGATTTCCGACGTCTCAAAAATTATCTTCATTTCCATTTTAATAGGAATTTTTTTTCTAAACAATTTTTCTCATGAATTTAAAATGAATTTCGGAATTAAATTCTTAAAGTTCAACAATAAAAAAGTTCAATGTCAAGTTCCTGGAAGTTTTATATTAGATTGCTCTTTACTTCATAGCAAGTACAATGGAAATCTTTGAATGTAATGAATTGAGCAAGTTCTATAGAAATTACAAGATGAGTGAAATGATGATAATTGGATGTAACGTGATGCCAAGAGACATTATGTAATTTTATAATGTTTTGAATTTTGTATGATGCTGTATTTTTGAATAGAGATTTTCATGGCTGAACAACAGAGAAATTTTATAATCTTGAGATATTTTGAATGGTTATCCAATTTTTTGGAAAGTAATTAGTGAATAATTGGAATTTGCTTTCTATGAGATTCTTCACATTACTTTGCAATTTTTCATTTTTGAACTGATTGATGGATTAGCGTGAAAATAAGTAACTTAGATAAGCTACTGGATCTTGCAATGTGATGAAAATATTTCAATATAGTTGGATATTAAAAATCCATTCAAGTAGCTGGAATAAAGTTTAATAAAATACAAAAACCACAAATTAACAACCTTCGATGACTATAGATTAGTTTGCCCAACATTCGGACTATTTGCTGTCATTCACTTTGGGGTCGTTCACTTATGACGTCCATCAAAAAACCTGATTTTTAGACCCCCCTCCTCCCCTCTGTCACAAAAATTCTAAAGAAAAAAATTTCCATTGTTTGAACTGTCACAAAATCCTAGACCCCCCTCCCTCCCCTAAATGTCGGACGTCATAAGTGAACGGTCCCTTTAACCACAATAAACTAAAAGCAGTTGCATTAATCTAAGTTTGAGGTCACTTGCTTATAAGGTCTAAAAATAGAACATTTTTAACCCCAGCCCCCTTACCTCCTTTCTACTTAAATCATTGACTCCATTCCCATTTCATCATACAATTTCACATCAACTCATCAGCAACAAGCCTACGAATTTCAAATATTTCCCAAACCACAATGAACACATGTTAGAGACTTAGCAAACATACCATAAAATTCATATTGGCTTTTTATTCAGTTTCAACCGCAGCAATAATTTTTCCTCTGCTTCTTTTCCTTCGATTCGCAAAAAGCGGTCGTTAATCTCGAGTGAATGATGCTTAAAAAAGCCTTGCTTGCTTATTATCCTCACTTTACTGTTTGTTTTTATAACTTCTTCTTTTCAACTTAACGCTACTTCTGCCTATGAGGCCACTTAATCACTTCAATTTGTTGGATAAATAGATAAATAAATGAAAAGATCTGTTTCACAATTAATTGGCAATCCGGACAATTTTTTTCACTTGCATTCAAGTATATCCACTTTATCGGAAAGTTATTTTCAAGGACTTGTTTTCTTCAATTACTTTACTTTAATCATCAGATGGTTCTCATCAATTTGATTGATGAATTGATTAATATTTGTAAGACACGCGACACATTTAATAGATTAATATTTATTTTTCGGGAGATACGGAATAGCACTTGCTTACGATAAACCGCTAATTTAACAACTGAAAGTGAAAATCGCTTATGCTTTGATTTTATAATGTGCCCCACGCAAAAAAAATTCGTAATCAACATTTTTGGTGCATCCCCATCCATAGCTGCAGTTAATTGACTTGAGAGAAAAAGTGGAAGTTGATAGGAAGAAAGAAAAAAGAGAAAATCATGTGAGAATTTTGCAATGTTTGCGTATAGTAAATAATAGAAGTAGGGAGAAATGTTGCAGCTTTGCGTGCAAAAGAAAAATCGGAAAGAGATAAGAGAAGAATGGAGTTCAATGAGAGTCAGAGATAATTTTGATTTCACTTACTTTGGATGTGTTTTGCGTGCATAAAGCTTAGGAAGGTTCATTCACTTATGACGTCAATTATTTTAAGGTGGAGAAGATGACACGTTATCAGATTTTGATCTTTTTTGATGGTTTTTCACAATTTTGATCAGTTCCATACAGAGTTGCGAAACAGACCACGTGTGACAGGTGAGAACCGTTCAATTCCTTGATAATTTGTATGGTTTTGTTAGAAAAACCTTTTAAATTATCAAGGAATTGAAGGGTTCTCACCTGTCACAGGTGCCTGTTTCGCAACTCTGGTTCCATATCTTTGGAGGGAAATTTCTTGATAAACGTCATAAGTGAATAACCCCCAACATCAGCATCAGCATTTTGTTGAATAATATTGTGAAGTAAGTCTGTTCATGAGCTATAATGTCCGCGCAACAGTAATTAATATAAAATTTATCAAATATAACTTTATCCTTATGATAAATATTAATGTACTTCTGTCACATGCTACAGAAAGTAATTAAAAAAGTAATTTTTGCATCGTCATTTTTGTGTCAGTTCTGCCATCATTACATTTTTCATCTACATTTATTTATGTTCATGTTCAACACTCATAATCAATGGAATCGTCAACGAGACAAATGAGATTACAATTATGTCATATAACGATGGTGATTAAGAAGAAAGAGAATAAAAAGAGTGAGAAGTGGGATTTTTTATGATACAGAATGACACAGCAGCATCAGCAGAGGCAGCATTATATGTCGCATAAAATATGAATATTTCACTGTAAGCCATTAAGTGCGTGTACATAAAAAGTCACATTGGGTTGGAATATGATACTGATCAAATATAAAAGCACGCCATAGAATCTGCAATGACTGTAGTGATAAAATTAGAAACACAATAGAGGTTGAAGATTCTGCTTCTTCATGCTTCTTTTCTGTGTTTTTGAAAATCATAAAATGAATTCAACATGACAAGAATGGAATGTATTTTTAAATTTTCAAAGATAGGATATTTCTGTAAGTATGAATGTAAAGATAGAACATTTCTGTAAGTTTTAATGAATGCCTTAAGGATTTGCAGTATTTTTACTGTTTTTATTGTCGATTAAAGATCTAGACATCAATTTTAAAAAGCCTCTCAAGTCATTCAAGAATGTTAAAACAAACCTCAATTGGAATATTATTTAAAAATCGATTAAAGATGCATCTGAAGGGGCAGTTCGTAAGTGATGTCTAAGTTTTTTTTTTGAGGTCCTTATGACACTTCCATGCGTGAAAAAAATAAAAGTGACAAAGAGGAAGGGATGTCTAAAAACTTATAATTCGGTAGACATCATTTTTGAAAGTTCCCAACCTACATCCTATCCTATTTATTTAAAACCAAGTAAAACTTTTATTTCAACATATATTGTATGGAAGTGCATGAGATTCCATAAGATAATGAATGAACCAAAGCTCCAATGAAGGGATAAAAATCAATAATTCAATGCAGTAGATGCTGTGAAAGCTCATATAACAATAACTTGAATATTCTCCCAACATTCATTATTGATTCGACTCATGGTCCTTTGAAATTAAGACTTTTGAGTTCATGTTAAGATGATCATCATGTTTGGGAACGAGTCATATTTTTAAAAAAAAAATCTGAATAAGTGTCAATTTTGAAGGAGGTTTCAAGCTATGAATCTTCTTTACTTACTTGCTTACTTCCTTAGATGGGGCGCACGTGGGCTCATTGCCGCGTTCAGAGATTGTCTAAAAACAGCTCTATCCTTCGAGACTTTCTGCCAGTTCGGGATATTAAGGACTCTAGCGTCCTTATCAACACATCCAATACAGGTGTTCTTTGGTCTTCCTCTAGATCTCTGCATCTTCTTTAAGCTAGCCAAAAAGTTTAAAAATGCGCTTAGAGCTCCATTCAAGCACATTGAGCATCCAACTATTTCCATATTAACACCGATATCCTCTTTGTGGTCAGCTTGTGTTCCATATATAGAGCATGAACTATTTATTTCTTTCAATTTCCTAGAAGCATGAAAGTTCGTAGCCAAGTGAAAACAGAACCAGCAGCAGCTGAGAGCTTTAATAACAAACATTGTTTTTTTTTCTTGAGCACATCCAATATTGCTCGTTCAGTGCATTGAAAATTGCCAAATGACGATGAAAGAAGAAAAATTTATGGCAATAGGAGTGAAAACAGAAATTTATGGTCATGCAATTGCAGGTTCTTTTTTTGTTCCCTTCTCACTCACTCCTCTCATATCGCTCCGATAGATGAATTGAATGGCTTTCTGAAATATTGTAAGTGCCTTAACAATATGCGATCGGAACAGAGAAAAATATATCGAAGGGTGTCAAGGCGGAAACAAATTGTTGTTCCGAAAGAAAAGAGAAATAAATTTTTATATTTTTTTCTGCTTGCCTGTAAGTGAAAGAAGAAGACGTCTTGTGTTAACAATTTCCGATGTGTACAACAATGGGAACGACTTTAAGCTCACAAACATACAAGAAAGAAAAAAAACAATCAATTTGTAGATCCAGCGCAGCATAAAAAATTATATAGACGGAGATTCGTGTACGATTAAAGACTGATGTCTTGATAATTATTCACTTTCAGTCTCTTTCTTCCATTCACCTTCTTCAATGTCTTATTTAGTGTAGCATAGCTTTTAACTAGAGTCAATTTTGCATTTTGAGAGAGCTTGGATGTCTATTTGCTGCTATTCTGTATCTTTTCAGTGGAGATTCCTCCTGATGAACCACATTTAAATAATCAAGCCCTAGTTCTAGGTCTCTTTGTGGATTTTATTATTATTATTATTTATTTGTCGACGTTACCGTCCGGAAGAATTAGTATTTATACATGTTTTACTTTTTACATTGATTAGTGATACATTTCATATCACTATGGGTGACGTAAAATCAAGCTTCTAATCTTCAAATCTAGGTTTCGATTAAATTCAGGCTCTCGTTTCAATCTTCTGTGGGCGTGACGTGATACATTTCAGGTCCGTTCTGACAATATTCCATTATAAGGTAATCGTGTAGCTCTCGTTCCTATTTCTCCTGTTACACTTCAAGTTCCTGATCCGTTCCTTAATCCAACGTTGCCCAAAATGCCCAATTATGGCTTGATCTCGTACATTAAGCAGTCGAAGTATCTAAACTTCTGAAAAAGAACAAATTTGGAAATGGCTGGATTCGAACCGACGACCTTCGAGTTACCATACCAAATTTGAGCCAAGCGCCTTACCTATTCGACCAGCAAGGCACTTAACTGCTGGATTAAGACCTCTCATTGTGGAACATAATAAGCACTTATCTGTAAGTATAAAAACCAGCCTTTCTTACTTGCTTATGCAATGATCGTGAGTTTGTATATTTATTTTTGGTGACTTTATATCTTATTCTTATTACCGTGAATGTATTACGTGCACATCTAATCTATGTATTATATTTTTATTTTTATTACATTTTATTGTAACATTTACCTCAGGTGGATGGAGGTAAAGAAGAAATTTCAGCAAAAACGAGATTGTGCTCATGATGACGCTGTGAGATTTATGTTTTGGCATAATGGATGAAATTCATCACTCTCATATCTCTCATACTTTTATTTAAATAATAATTTTTGTAAATCTTTCTAAGAATTTTTGTGTTCATAGATAACGAAAGATTCATATTTTTCATCATGACTGAGTGCTTGACTATGTAAACGAGTCAGTGGTATACAGGGAATGAAACAATAAATTGCGGTCATTTCTTTCTTATATTAAATTTTTCATCTGATGTTAATTTGATTATTTTTTATGACTGACTCTCTCGTTGTTAATAGAAGAGGTGATTTTGCTGGTTACGGTAATAAAGTTTTCCTTAAAGACCTTTATGGCTCAATTAAATCACTGATAAATGATCCGAGAAGAATTGTTGATGTGTATCTGGTCTGGATGTTCTGATTTGTTGATATAATCTAGCAACAGAGCAAGGAAGGGGGTCCATGACCTCAAAAAAAGTTTTTAAAATCTCGAAAATCTTCAGGAACGGACTCTTGTGATAAATATCAAGCATCATAACTAGTGATCTCCCTATAACTGCCATATGTGTATACAATTGTAACACAAGTCGGGTTCGATGGGAATCAAACCAACGACCTCAAAAGAGGCGATCTTTGACCACTCGATCACCAGTTTCAACACGAGTCCTATGCTCAGGCCTATCTTCTACAAATATGCTCTTCGAGCCATATCCACAATAAAGAAAGCTAGTAGAATGCGTTTCAAAATCAATTGAAATTATTAACGTTA